TGTGTGTGTCTGTGTGTGCATTTTTCTTTCTCTTGAATAAATACTTAGGAGTATTTATTAGTATTATTAATCCAGCAATTGCTAGATCATAGGGTACATCATATTGTTGAACATTTTTAAACTTCCAAATGATTGTTCACGTGGTTGTACCATTTACTTTTCCAGAGTTCTGGTGTTCACATCCTTGCCAAAATTTGGTTTGTTAGTCTTCATTGTTTTGGCTGATCTAGTGAGTGTGTCATGGTATCTCAAGGTTCTAATTATTATTTACCTGGTGACTAGTGAGGAAGCCCTAGGTGGATTGCAAATGGTTAGCACACTTGGCTGCTAACCAGAAGTTTGGGTCCCCCCAGAGGCTCCTTGGAGAAAAGAGGTGGTGATCTTCCAAAAAATCAGCCACTGAAAACCCTGTATAGCACGGAGCTACACCCTGTACAGCACAGGGCTACAACTGTGTACAGCATGGGGCTACAACCCTGTCTAACACAGGGCTACAACCTGTATAGCACAGGGCTATAGCCCAGTCCAGCACAGGGCTACAACCCTGTCCAGCACGGGGCTACACCCTGTACAGCACGGGGCTACAGCCTTACAGCACGGGGCTACAACCCTGTATACCTATGCACAACAGCTAATAAATTCAGCCAGTATTTGCATGACTTTAAGATCGTTTGTTTACTGCGTGTGTTTGGTTCTTTTTCAGCGATGAGCCAGTAGCAGATATTGAAGGACATACAGTGCGTGTGGCCCGAGTAATGTGGCATCCCTCAGGACGTTTCCTGGGCACCACCTGGTAAGCCATATTGTTATTCTATCCACACAGGCCTGTGGCATCTTTTGAACTCATTGTAGCTATCTGTGAGGTCAGTGTTTAGAGCAGAGATCTTCAAGTAGGATTCTCTTGGAATGTACTGAATTAGAATCAGAAAAGAGTATATGATAGTTACAGAATTAAGTGTGTTTGCTTTTAAATACAGTTAGTCTGAAATTTCAAAGTCACTAATTGGCTGAGATTTGGGAGCTGTGTTGGCATAGTACCTAAGGCATTTGACTACTAACCAGAAGGCTGGCAGTTCAAACCCACCAGCCATTCCTCGGAAGAAAGACTAGGCAATCTACTTCTGTAGAGATACCACCTCAGAAGAAAACCCAAGGAGGGGTTGCTATGAATCAATGGCAATGAGTTTGGGTTTTTTTTCTTTTTCTTTTCTTTTTTTTTTCTGAATTGCTGGAGAAGTAGGATTTTCACTTTTTTCTCTCTTCTTAACAAAAATTAGAGGTGTTTCTTTGTTGTTGTTACTGGTTTGTTTTTTATTTTTGCTACACATCTCTGCCTGCAAATCAGTCTCCCTTTTAACGACCAGAATCTGATAAAGAACTTTACAGTTGAGTTATGATTTACATACTGAGGACTGGATATATCTTAAAAGT